CAAATATTTCTTCAAAAGTGACCTATAATATTTTGCATCCAAACATGACCTTCCTCTTGGAATTTGCTCTTGACCAAAAAAGATGGCATGAGATAGACCTCTTGAATGACATTTTGAAACTTGAATCATTCAAAATCTCCAAAAATTGAGAGAGTTATGAATTGTTGAAGTTGGCAAAAAATCATGAAATGACCTATAATCTTTTGTATCCTTAAGGCATACTCCATCCATTTTCTCATTTTGCACATAAAAGAAGGAACAAATTTCACATCCTCAAGATCATTGTGGAAAAAAGAGTGTGCTCAAGGTGATAAAAATTGACCAAGTTAAGATCATTTGAAGTCACACATGGGAAGTTGGGGGTTCATCTGGAGGACTTGTAATCTTTCTTCATCATCAAGTTTCTTCCACATGAAAACTCCTTGAAAGTTTTAAAGTGATTTGTTAATAACCCTTTGAAGAGAAGGATGTTTTTGGAATCACTCAAAAATACCAAAAGATGAGCAAGATATACTTCTTTGAAGTTCAAAATCCTAGCTCCTAGATTAAGAAAATGCTTTGAGAAACTTTGACAATTTTAAACAACCTTCTTGTACCAACACTTTTGCTTTGTAGATAGAAGTTATTGAGGATGATAATGAGAATGCATAGAAACCAAAATCACTTCCATATCTTGATAATTGAGAGAAATATGCACTTGTGACCAATGGGAACAAGGCCTTGTCCAACCATGACAAATTCTTCAATTAACCCCTTGTACTTTTGAATCAATCTTGATAACTTTGAAATGTGGTGAACCAAAATAAATCTTGCCATGCCATTTCTTCCAAAACAACTTCAATGGTGAGGTTTGAATTTCTCAATCTTTCTTGACTAGGTAATGGAAATAAACTCATGAACCCATGGATCAACTTGCTAAGCCACATTGCCTTTACCTACATTATTAACAAGTAAGACAAACCAACATTGCATTTTATTAATTAAAAGGAAAGTCAAAACAAAACATGTATGATTACAAAATAAAATAAAAAGTCAAGGTGCTTGGTGATTCCTCAAAGAGCAAAGCTAAAGATAGGGAAGAGAACCAAAAGTGCTAATGTGATCTTGTTGTGATTGAATCAATATGGTATGAAGAAGGGATCTTAGGGGCAAAAATTGGGGTACAACACTTTGTTAGCATAATAAGAATATACATAATTACAATCACTTCAATGACTAAGAAATAGAAATATTATTAATGAGGAAAATAAAAATCGGATACCATTGGGTTAATTAAACTATGAAAAAGTTTAAACATAAACAACCTAACTAGACTTAACACCCAAACTAAGAAATCAACTAAAATTTAATGGAATAGATTTTTGTATACACAAAGGTTGTGTGTCTGAGAAATAAAGATTTATTTGTGTGATGTTAGTGCATGAAAGTTAGAATGTGAGTACAGAATTGTTAGTATTAACAAAAGGCGTAGATTTTAAAGACAAACCATCAGCGTAAGATCATCATATGGTAGAAAAACAAACTAAATTAAAATTAAAGAAAGAAAAATTGAAAATAAAAAGGGTGGCCTCATATTTAATCATTTGTCAAAATTGTTAATAGAAAATATGTAGAAAGGGTTTGAAGAAAATTTGTGTTAGTGAAATTGCAAAATTGTGGATCTTTGCGGGTGTGTGTGAAATTGCAAATTTGTGGATTGTTGATGATCTCATAGTGTGAAAGAAAGACCTATTTATAGTGATAATTATGTCAACAAAATAGAAAATAAAATTAAATATTAACCAAGACTAAATAAAATAATATCTAATTTTTTCTGGGTTAAAAAGCTAACCAATCAGATGTTAGAGTGACGCAGGATGACCAATAGTAAACAGGTGAAAAAGATTTGATTTTTTTAATTATTTTTTGGACACTTTTTGACAAAAAATGCATTAAATAAATTAAATATAATTATTGAAATATGCCTCAAATAGAAAAACGAAAACAAATATAAAAAAATAGAACTTTGTGACTTTGAAAATGGAAATAAAGTTAATAACAAATGAAAGGAATAATATTAAAACGAATAGAACTAGTAAGACTCTAACACGTGACCTCATATTTGTCTCTTTACCAATTGTGTTGTCTCATTTATTCGAAATAAAAAAGCACTTGAAAGCATATGGAGGGTGAGAAAATATTTGTTATTTAAAAAATACAAATAATTTTAAAGTAAACTATTATATATTTTTTAAATAAGCAAAAATAAATCAATGCTGAAGTGTTAGTATAAATAAACTAAAATTTTTATAAAACCCAACTTTAAAATAATTTGACAGTTAGAAATACGGCGGACAAATTAGAGGTATGACAGAAGCCCCTATTTAATTATTCTTCGATTGAAAGATGCGAAAATACGATGTTCTCGCACATTCGGATCAGAGGGTTATTGAATAATGGAAGACCCCAAAATTTGACCAAATACTCTTTTTGAAAACTTTTGAAAAATATTTTGAAAAATAAAGCAAGTAAAAAAGTAAAAAAGGGAAAAGATGACGCGGATAACTCATCAATGACTGGGAAAAGCAAATAACTCGTACATATCGAAGGTAACCAAGAGAAGACGACGCAGATAACTCATTAACGCTTGGAGCGTGGATTAACATATCCATATTTTCTAGGGACTAAACCGATAGATATGATAAAGGACGCCATCACAAAATTTGAATTCCTACCACAACCTAGGGGATAAACAATGCTGGTATCAACTCTACCTTTGCCAAGAGACTAAACCAATAGAGTCGAAAAGGTTTAAAAAGAACTTGCGAATGCTTCGGGACTAACATAGTAAGTTGTATCATAGATTTTGCATATTTATCACAATCTAGGAGATGAATAATGAAGTATCAATCTTATCTTTGCAAATGGACTAAACCAATAAGATCAAAAAAATTGGAAAAATAACTTTTCATTGCTCATGGACCCATATGAATAGTTATATTGCCTATTTGCACATCTACCACAACCTAGGGGATAGACAATGCGGGTATCAACTCTATCTTTGCTAAGAGACTAAACCAATAGAGTTGAAAAGGTTTTGAAAAATAATTTGCTAACGCTTCGGGACTAACATAGTAAGTTGTATCGTAGATTTTGTATATTTATCACAACCTAGGGGATAAATAATGTAGGTCTAAAATTTGATATTTGAAATTGAAATTTGATAGTTGAAAATTGAATAATTAGGGCATGGATATGAATCGTAGATATACCGCCTAGTGTAATTTTGGCTTTGGTACCTCTAATGTTATATTTGTTCTTAACAAAGGTAGCTATTGTAATAGTGTGAAAAGTGCTAAGGTTTGAATTTGTGATTTGTGCATGTGACTTAGTTGGTAAACAGGCCTTGAGATTTTTCGCAGTATTCCTGAGCCTTTGTGTTTGGAATGCAATGCATGATTTCTTATCTTTGCTCTTTTGTATTGCTCAATGATAATGCTTTTGATACAATTTTTGTATGCTATATGTAATTATGATTATGTTATGAGTAAGATGTGTAAGACTGCTTACGCTTAAATGCTAGTGGAAAATGTATGAGACTGTTTATACGTGAAAGGAATGCTGATGGAATTGCATGAGGCTGCTCATACGCGTAGGGCTGCCTACGAATGAAATGAGGATGTATATGCATGAGGTTCTTCATGCTCGTAGGATTGCCTACGATGAAATGCTGATGTGAATGCATAAGGCTGCTCACATCATAATGCTGGTAAAAATACATGAGGCTGCTCACGTCTTTATGAAATACATGCGGTGCATGAGGTTGTTCATGCTTCGTAAGGCTTCTTAGGAATGGATTAATAGATGAAGTTATGTGACGGTTGATCAATGCAATACACATGTTGTTTGAAGTTATGGCTTGTTTATTATCCGGGCTTTTAACCCTGACCCGTTAAAAGCTCGATGTTTAATCAGGCTAGCCCGACTGAGTTGTGGATAGTCCGCTTATTTTATTCAATATTTTTTAAATAAAAACTATAATATATTATACTACTAATGTCCATATTATTTTTTGATAAAAATTCAAATGTCTATTTTATAATACATTATAATACTAATGTTCATTTTAATAAAAAAAATATAATACATTATACTACTAATGTTCATTTTATAATACATTATACTACTAATGTCTGAACTTAAATCTTGATTATTTGATTAAAATAATTTATTATTATAATATTTTAATCTTAAATATATGTATGTAATTGGTTTTTATATTTTTAATGATCAATACTCATACGTTTTAGTTTTTTTAGTCTATTATTTATTAATTTATTTTTAAAAAAATTACTTTTTTAATAAAAAAAATGAACATTAAATATAATCTGGATCGACCCAAATAATCGAAGCCCGTTAAAGATCAAACTTAGACAATCAAATTATAGTACATTTAAATTCCGGACTTTTAAGCCCAACCCATCAAATTAAACTAATCTAGTCAAAATTAATTGATACCTAATCTAATCAAAAATAATTAAAACCGAATTAACTAATCAAAATTAAACTAAATTAAAAATATTCAACTAAACAAGAATAAAGCAAAGCCAAGCAAGAGATAGACTAACAATAATGGAGAGTGATAATTTAAAATGATTCACCTGTTAAAAATAGAATGGACAAATTTAAAATATAACAACACTATTGAAGTTAATGTTGACTCTCAATTAGTTGTTAATGCCCTTAACAACAATAACCAAAATAGTATTGTGGGGAGAAGTCTAAAAGCTAAGATTAAGGATTTTAATTGCAAAGTCAAAATATCCAGTTACAACAAATATAGTTCAAATTAATGTCTTCAAATCATTGAAAACTATATAACTTACTCAAGTATATATATATAATAAAGTGTTCATCTTAAGACATATATATATATATATATATACTCGTTTCTATATGATTGTAAAATATATATAAGAAAACATTTGGAAGAAACATCCATGGTGGCAATGAAGAGTTAATTAGTAATATAGTGGTTCAAGAGTGAGGTCAAGTCCGTTCCTCATGAGTTCTGGATCTCCCTCACGGTAGTTGCCACTGAATAAATAAAACATAATTGCACATTATGCACATGATTAAGTTGGTATAGGTAAAGAAGATGAAGTAATGAAAGTGTGAAATGTAGTAATACCTCATGTTTAAACCAGCAAGAGGGTGATGTTGAAAGAAAGATGTATTATCAACTCTGTAGTTTGGCTGCTCCCATTGAGCAGCAGCAGCGGCCGCCGCGGCCTCCTCCGCAACCGCCTTTTCTTTCTCCTTTATCTGGTTTAAAGTCACAAACATATGATTTTGTAGGAGTAGATAGAAAATTTTGTAGGAACATAACCCAAGAGATCAACTAAAAGAGGACAAATCAAACAACTAACGGAAGAAAAATAAGACAGAAGAATAACAAAGTTAAAAACAACCACCAAACCGAACTATAATTAGGAGAAAGCTAATCAACTACTAATCTGATCCATACAAAAGCCGCAAACACAACAGATCTCCGGAAATAATGAGTTGGAGGAAGGAAGACTAGAACACGGAGGTCAGTTGGCCACGAGACACTCCTAAATATCCAACCACTTGAGCGGTTCACATTCCCACTCTAATCGAAAACATCAAAATTCAGAGCATGGACATGAATCCACTAACACGTTAGACTTATGATCGATGACACCAAGTGATTAACGGTCAAACGTTCATATCTAAAAATAAATTTATTCTGCAATTTCTAGATAGTCCATATTACAAAATTTCGGATCAAGACTCAACCTATAAACGTCAAAACATGTCAAACACCTCTAAAATTAAAATTTCCAAAAGTATTAGGCCTCTTCAACCACCTAAACAACCTATACCATATATTTAAAGCAACCTTACATGAGAAAGAGATGCTCAGCTGACACCACCTACCAACACATACTCCCCCCGTCTCAAAATATAAGAGAAAAAAAAGTATTTTTCTTGTTCCAAAATATAAGAGAAAAATCAACTTTCACTCTTTTCAAGGAAAAATTAAATATAAATTGTATTTAATTTATCATCTCTTTCATCTTTTCTATAACCAACCATCAATTAGAATTGTTTTTACATCTTCTTATGTATTTTTTTTCAAAGAAAATCACAAGTCAAATCATTATGTTTTTACTTTTCTTAATAAATGTGATTTTATTTTTTTCTCTTATATTTTGAGACAGAGGGAGCACATCGCTCCCACATCAGTACTACTTGACTCATTTTGATACCTCAGAAGATTTTGCTAGTCAACAACCTATTCTGAATCAACTTCTAAGAGAACATAACAACTATAAAAGGTGACAAACTCTTCCAAACCCTAGCGAGCCCTCAAGCCATCAAACCTATTCTTTGACATCCCGGTCATGGAAACAAGAGTATCAAAGTCTGTTATCACCGAGAAGCCACCTGCCTTGCCTATTCTATTTCCAAATCCAAACATTCTTCTAACCAAAACCTCACAATCCTGAAGATAAAACCAAGTAAAGAATCCACAGTTCCTCCACTCAAACAAGGAAAAGTCGTCTCAACCTAAAACTCTGCACCCACGCGTCGCCTACCAGACACGCATAGAGCAGGCACCTGAGGTTTTTGCTCCAAAACAAGAAATAACCGATCAAAGAGTCACATAATGGGGTTTAGCCAACTCAGACATCATGTCGAAACCTGATTTTTTGACCATCCCCAATCCTCTTAACTCAAGAAGAGGAAAATCAATGAAACTCTAGATCAGGGGGAGACCCAAGAAGCGAAACCTCTCTCCACAACTAAGACACCCTATTAAAGTTTCCTACCATACCCCTTACTAAGAGTCAGGCCCTTGGGAACCGTGCCTCGCCACACAAATATCTCTTTACGCATATTTAGAAGAATCATTTACTTCCACTTACTTAATAAAGCAAGATATTTGAGGCTAAGATCCTTAACCCCTAAATCACCTGCTCTTTTGGCCTTACATTCATATGCTTGCTTAACCTAAACAACCTTGTCTCCTCCTCTGGAGTCCTCCAAGAGAAAACACATTTGCATACCAACCAACTTCTATCGAACCAAGATTGACATCTTCATGAAACTTACAAATATATTTCTCCAAAAAGGCTTTCTCTTAGAGACAAACTTAACTAGCGGAAAAGTCTTTTTCTTCCTTTTGCAACCTTTGATAGTCCTAAATATTTAAATGAAAGGGTACCCAGTTTGCAATGGAAACACTCTCCACTCTGATTTATACAAGGCCTACCCACATTAACCCCAAAGGAGAATCAACCTTTGAGATAAGGGAAACGAAAAAAGATGTTGGACTCTTTAGCAAAATAACATTAAGAAAAAACTAGTCAAACATCTCAAACATCTCTAACTTAATCAACCCCTAGAACTTCTAATAAAAGTAAATTTAAATCATCATAGTCAAGACTCTTGGACCCATCATTCCCAAAAACCAAATCGCCCAACTCCACATGCGTAAACCTAGCCGAAAGAGACTAAGTATAAGTTAAAGTCAAACATAACCCAAAATGTTATTCCCTTCGTCTCACAATAGGTGTACTCTTTCCTATTTTTATTTGTCTCAAATTATTTGTCATTTTAGAATACCAATGTGTATTTATTATTTTTTTTTCACTAATTTACCATTATTTATTACACTTTAATTTATATAACTATTACACTATCTATTATTAATAAGATTATTTTAATAAATGTGATTCATTTTAACATTGAAATCAACATAACTAATCATTATCTTAAAAAGTGTGAAAATCTTAAAGAGAACACCTTTTCTGAGACATGGAGAGTATTATTTTCTTGACACTATAAGTTAAAGCCTACAAAACCCAAAATGTTATTTCCTTGGCACTAAGAACTCAGTAAGCCAACATCAAAGCAAAGAATGGAGTGAATAAGTTGCTGCTTTACACAAGGGAAAGGACAACAAAACAAATACCATCCAGCCGGGGCCTATCCCAGTGATCAACAAAGTGACTAATGATTTATGACAACACTTATTGATTTGAAAAACAATCCTTTCCCACACTAGAACACCATCTTATTGCACCATAATAAGCCTTGATTTAATATTTATTTCTTATAAATGGGCCGAAAGCAAGTAGTTAAACAGTACTATTGTACTCTAACTTACTGTATATACAAACTTGTATACATAATTTTGTCCTCAATCACTCTAGGGCATTTCCCTCTGTGTAGTTCAAACAAGCAATAAAATAGAATATATAATAAGAATTAATCATGCTATAATAAAACTAATTAATTAAGTTGAGTTATATATGCAAAAAGTTACTCACTTCTTTTGAGAGCATGTTATTCTGCTCTTGTATCCCTCTCTCCTGTCATATGAGAGAGCACAGAAATGTATTAGTTTCATTATCTAGAGAAAAATGCCTTCACTTTTGGTGTAATATGTGACAAAAAACAATATAAAGCCTTGATAATTAAAACATTGAGGTTGAGACATACCTTTTTCTGAAGTTCAGAAATGGCCTCATACATGATTTGAGTCTGTTACACCATGTCATATAATATTTTAATTAGTAAAAAATATGCTTTATAAATAATCACACAAATAAGTTAATTGCTATTGTTTCTTTTACAACAACATAAAATTTGACAAAGTAGTGAATAAAATAAAGATATAAAAATGTAGGAACTTCTATTTGGATCTTTGAACTACCAAAATATAATGTAAATGATTCTCTAAATTCATCAATACTTTGCAATTATATTCCTGAAATTTAATCAAAAGTCTAAAGTCTTATATTTTATGTTTCACATGTCTTTTATTTCTGCTCTAAACTTTCATATAAATTTCATTAAAAATTCACCCTCACTCTGAATATCTCAAATCCTTTTATAACATATGTTAAATCTATGATTTAAAGAGAAATGAAGTTAGACCGAATAATTTTTATGAGCAATGCATGTGAGATAATGCGACTGTTGTGGTGTTATGATGCGGCTGTTGCAGCGTTATAACGAAGTTTTTAGTGTGATTTACGATCACATCACAATTTCCGCATGAAGACACTACCGCAATCGCAAAATTGCCACCGCATAACCATCTATCTTTTACTTTGTATATATATATATATAAATTGAAAAGAGTGTAGAATATATATCTACTCTTCGGGTACGGATGTTCTTGAGACCAGTATCTAACTGCTGTTCTAGACATTGAAGCTCTTTCAGGCTCATTGTAGCTAGACCTTCTCCCATGTAGTGCCTGAAAAACATGCTAAGTTACACTGTAAGGCCATAATGTATTTTTCTCAAATAGCTACAAAAGATAATAATATTATCAAGGATCTATCTACCTGTGGTTTCTCTCCAAAAGATCAATTTTTGCCTTGAGCCTAGTGTATTCAACTGTCCAGTTTTCCTGCACAAAGTATACCTAGCTACTTAGATCTTTGATATAATTCTCAACTCATATATTTTCAAGCAAAACATTTTTAATACGGTCGATTAACATAAAATACAACATATTTATGATACTTGACGCACGACATACAGATTGTGTATCATGTCGAATCAATAATGCTCGTCTATTGAGAACTCTGAATGACCTAAAATTTCGCGTTGAAAATATCATCTTATTATTAATAAATTAAAACTCACACAAATCTTAAAAAATAAAATAAAAAAACTCACATAGTAAAAGGCTCTTATATTGCAGCAAAGTGTGAAGATATTGTTAAATAAAAATTGTAAAATAAATGATAAAAAAATGAATAAATTAATGACAAACCTCAGTAGCATCATTTGCTACAAGTAGTTTCTCTGCATAGCCATATCTTTCATGGCGTTCTAGTATCTGCTCCATGCTGTTTCAATGAAACAGTATAGTCAAAATTACATTATAATTAATCACAACTACATGTACTTATATCAAACAATATTATTAAAAAAATATCAGTAAGCCTTTTTCTACCTATTAAAATAATAAAATTTGTGATGATTAAAAAAAACTTATAAGAAAATTAAAAATGAACATGATGATATCTATAAATTTTTTCTTATATATAAAAAATTATGAATTGTTTTCTTTATTTGTGTATATATTATTATATGTATTTTTTTTTGGATACTATATTATATGTATTTTTAAAACAATTGTTTAAATATATTATTAATTAGGACAAGAAAGATGAGAACAAAAACAGTGTTAAAAAAAAAAAAGAGAACTGAACCAAAACCCTTCAAATGAGCAAAAGAAAAAATATATATAAAAAAAAGGGTTAAATAATTAATGAATTGTTTTTGTATGATATAGATCTAAAAGAATCATATATAGAACAATTACCATGAATCAGTTGAATACTCAAAGAGTTTTCCATTATGAGAAAAAACAATCAAAGCAACTTCAGCATCACAAAGAACTGAGATCTCATTAGCTTTCTTGAGCAAACCAGTTCTTCTTTTTGAGAAAGTAACCTGTCGATTGATCTTGTTCTCGATCCGTTTTAGCTGTACCTTACTTCTTCCCATTTTTTTTTTCCTTCCTTAAATTATATACCTTTATGTTTACCTAATTTGTTCTTGCCCTTTTTTTACCAGAGAAAATATCAGCTCCCAAACTAGGTAAAGGGACCATCCTTCAGAACCATGCTTAAAAGGCCGGCAAATATAGCCTAGTGTGTGTGTCAATATTTTAGCATGAATATTAATTTCTTCTGCTACACTAGTTTAGCTTTCTTTATTTTTCTCTAATAACTATATTTTATTTTATAGTAAATATATATTTTTTTATCAATACTAATTTTCAAAATCAACCCAAATAAAAATCGTAAATTAATTTTGAAACAGATATCGCAAAAAGAAAAATATTAATTTTAAGGGTGTCTTTGGATTTACCGTAAACATAATTGATTTTAATAGAATTGAATTTGATAGAATTGATTTAAATAAAATTGAGTTAAAAAAATTAATTTATGTTTACATATATTTATGTAAAAGTCATTTGAAATAATAAATTTCAGTGTAAAAATCACTCAAAATCAATTCTGAAAATAAAAACTACAAATTATAGATTCAAGTTAAATTAATCTGAAAGTAAAATTAATTTTGTTTTTAATAAATCATCCAGAATCAATTCTACATCTTTAAAATTGATTATGAATTTTTCAAAAGGTAATTCAAACATGCTATAAATATATTTAGATTCTCTTTCATGAAAATCACTCATATCGGACTAAATTTCATATTAATTTTTCAAAACAGATTTAAAAGGAATCAAGCGGAATTCATATATTTTAATATTTATGTATTTTTTATTAGTGTATTTCATTACATCAATTTAATATTAGTATATATATTTTATTTGTCTAAGTAATATATAGTAGTTTAATTTATCTATTTATTTTTAATATTTCATTTGTTTCAAGTATATTAATTATTATTATTTGTAATTTTAATTTTTCATATATTAAAAATATTAATATTAAAAAAAAATTTATAATTTAGATATTTAAAAATCGATTCAAATTAAATCGCATAAAATTATATTGATCTCATAGAATTTTTTAACTAATCATCAAATTCTAAATCAAATCGCAAATATTTAATCTTTGGATGGATGATTTTATTAACAATAAAATTTTATTTGCCTTGTGTTTAAATTTTTAATATTATAAGGTTTTGCTAATTCTTTCTTTTTTTGATTCACTAGATCTTATGGTTAATTAAATTCTGTTGAGATGTTTTGTATAAGGGACAAAACATCTATTATATTTGTACTCTCTTTAATAATAATATATATATTGGCTTGCTTATAAATATTAACGTACCTATAGTACTTTGTTAACACGTGATTATAGTACTGTTAGTACCATGATAACACGTGACATTCTTAAATAGTTTCCTTCCCTTTAAGGTAAGTCCATTTAACTCTACCTAAATTTCACATTAGTTAACAACTTAAGAGAATTTCTCCGAGATGAAAATGAATTTAAATTTTGATTATGAAAACATGTAAAAATTAGTAGTACTAATAACTAATGGGAGTGGTAGACATGTTTTAAGATATTTATAGCGTTGGGGTTATGTGACAAGTGGTTTTTGGTATCAGGTTTGGGAAAGCTAACTGATGAAGAAGTTAAAGTTATAACGTTGTCGAGATATTATTGGTTGGACAGTGTACTATGTTGTTGCGTATATAAAGAACAGTAGTGAGATGTTTATACAAAGGTTCGAACATGTGGAAGTGGGAGCATCATGTTTGAGAGAGCACTCGGATGGCCCCCTACATGGTAGGCATATAGGATTGGAGGAAAAGGACAGATAAGAAAGAAAGCATAGCACAAATTAATTCTCTCATGTCTCATCAAAATGTTCTGTTTCTTGGCTCTTTAATCGACCCTATTTAATTACTCTAGCCAAATTAAATTTTGTTCATGTAGTAACAAAATTTGAAAAAAAATGTATTTTTTTTCAAATTTTGAATTTCACTGTTTATTTTATTAAAGCAACTAATTAAATATGGAGTTTGTTAGAACATACACTAATTAAATATGGAGTTTGTTAGAACATATGGTGGTTTAATTTTATGTTTGCGGAGAAGATAAAATGGAAAAAATAAGAGAATTTAATTGAGAGAGAGAGAGTAATTGAGGGTGATAAGAAATTTTTTCATTAATTTAACATAAAATATTATAAAGGATATTTATATAAGTAATATACAACAATTGGGATAAAAAAACATCAATTAAAACAACTAAAAAAAATCAAAACTCGGGTTAGTAATCGGTTATCATATTTGACGAAATCGATTACTGCTTAAGTGCGACACCAATAAGCTATTCTCGGAAGTGCTTTTTCGAGGCCGTAACTAGTGACCATATATTGCACAACTGGTTACTAGTAACTTGAATTACAATTTCAATTAACATATCCCCTTAATTCAAGTGATTCAAGTCCTGCATTCCCAAGCTCGTCTTTAATCTCGTGAACACATCATTTGAGCCTTCCTTAGTCAACATATCAGCAACTTATTCCTCACTTCGACAATATCCCAATTTTAACTTTCCTTCAATAACTAGCTCCCTCAAGCAGTGAAACTTCATCTCAATATGTTTGCGCCTCCCATGTGCAATATGATTCTTAGCGAGGTTAATGGCTGAAACATTATCAACTAATAGTGTGGCAGTCTCACCCTCATTATTGTCCAACTCTTCCAATAGATTCATTAACCAAACAGCTTGACACACAGAAAAGAAAGCTTCAATATATTCGGCCTCACAAGACGAGAGTGCAACCACCAGTTTCTTTTTAGAACACCATGAGATTGGTGCTCCTCCAAACATAAAGATGTATTCGACTGTAGACTTACGATCATCTTTATCTTTGCACCAATTGGAATCGATGATACTGAGCAAATTTCATTTTCTGCTGGTATCCACTATGGGAAAGAGAATTCTGCAGGTAATAGACCCTTTGACGTATCTTAGGATTCTCTTGACTGCTGCCAAGTGAGACACCTTCGGTCTCTCCGTGAATCCACTAGCAATACCGACACTAAATGGTAAGTCTGGCCGTGTTTTGAGTAGGATTTACATTCTACTCATCCTCACTTTTGGACAACTGCAACCTTGATTCAACTGGTGTTATAGCATCATTATAATGCTCCATATCAAACCTCTTCCAGATTTCTAGAGCATATCTCCTTTTATGCATGAGCAGTCCCATTTTTGACTTATGGAACTCTATGCCAAGGAAGTATGTCATAATCCCAAGGTCACTCATCTTGATTTTTTTAATAAGCTCACTCTTGAACTTAGAAATACTCTTCTCATTGCTGTTTGTGATCAATAAATCATCCACATATAGACAAAATATGATCACACCTTCAATTTCATCCGATTTTATATAAACTCCATGATGGGACACATATTTCTTGAAGCCAATATCAACTAGGAAACCATTTATCTGTTTGTTCAAAGCTCTCGAAACTTGCTTCAAACCATATAGTGTTTTTCTTAGCTTGTAGAACCTATCCTCTTGATTCTTCAAAACAAAACCAGGAGGTTGTTCTACATACACCTCTTCTTCAAGCGGGTCGTTCAAAAACGCGAATTTCACATCCATTTGATATATCGACTAATTATTGTTATTTAGCAACTGGTGCAAACACATCATCGATGTTTATACCTTCTCTTTAAAAAAATTCCTTTGCAACTAATCTAACTTTATGAAGGTGACAGAAACACAAGAAATGGGGGTTTGGATTGGGTTGCACCAAATATAATATTTTCATAACACAAAACACAAAGATAACAAGTGAATAAAAATAGATGAACACAATTATTTTTAACCTGGTTCACTGTTAACTAAGTTACTCTAGTCCACCCCGCAAGGTGATTTGCCTTATACACAAGGACTTAATCCACTATAATCAACCAGATTACAGACAACCACAATAAGTCTGATGAAACCTATTGGAACTCCCAATAAGTTTAGTGATCCTTATTGCAAACCATTATGACTGCAACCAAAGTCTTCTTGAGAATCCAAACTACACAGAGTCTCTCAAGGAACCTATCAACAAAAGTTATTTACAAAGATGTGTATACCAAGATGCTTCTACACAAGCACATTACACAATGTTTATGTACATCAACATAAAAGGGTTGATATCAATATACGAACAAAATCTCCTTGCTTATTTACAAAATTATACAAAAGATTTCTCTTCAGAGTTTTTGTGCAGCGGTTTAGTGTAGTTTTGTAGAACTGGTTTGTTGATTTCAAATTCTTCTAAGTACTTCTTTTATAGCTAAAAAGAAGATATCTGTTGGAGGGTAGAATAGGTAACACAAATACAATTGTATTGTTCTCAACGATCATGGTGAGACTGGTAGACAATAATATAAAAAAGTATGTCATTGCACCACTCTAGAGAGTAGAGGTCACAATGTACTTTTGTACTTTTATACTCACCATCACGCAATCTCTTAGTTGTGATCTTTGTCTTTTATGTCTTCAGAGGCTTCTGATATGTTTGTTGATGAAGCATGTTGTAGAAGGATCAAAACTATGTATCTTCTAGAACCTAAGTCATTAGAACCATACAGGGCTTGTTCAGAAAACTCTTGCCTTCTCAGTCTTCAGCACTTGGTCTTTAGAAGAATGTCTTTAGATCTTTAGAACTCGTTCAACACAACCTTGTCTTCAACATCTTCAAAACTTGGAACATCAGAAGTAAAGCTTTAGAAGACCTCAAAAGCTTCCTTGAATAAGTCACGATCAGAAGGTCTTTTACTAACGTTCCTTAGAATCGTTGCATAAGACACATTCTTTAATCTTGACTTAACTTGTAACACACCAAAGGTATTCTTCCAGAGTGTTGAGTTCAAAACTCGATGACATCACATGCCCTCTTACAAGAGTAAGAACTGTAACACCCTGAGTTATAGATTATTTATTTAATTGATTAATTTAGCATGATTACATGAGTCAGTGTGAAGTGTTTGATATCTTGATGATTATATGTG